TAAACCTTGACTTATTGCATCCTTCATTATGCCAAACTCCACTTCACAAAAACCAAGCTCGCATCCTTCATTATGCCAAACTCCACTTCACAAAAACCAAGCTCAATATTGTGGGGTAAATGCCCCAAAGCAAGAGAAGACGTCAATCATGTTCTAATGTGAGAACACCGACAAAAAATGAGATCAGACAATTAACAAAACTAAAATCATCAAAAAAACCCCAAATTAGTTTTAGCCTGTTGGCAGCATTATGGGGCTAGACAAAAACAAAAATTTTCAAAACAAATGAATTAGGCAGTTTTGCATTTGTTATTATCAATGTCCCTCTCATCAGATGATGGCAATGAGTCATAATGGATTAACCATCATTTGGGTTCATTTTGTCAACCAAGAACAATTCTCAATATAATTTCTTATATATGAAGAAGCTCAATCATTTGCACCAATGATGTCTTAGGCCCAAAAATTTATAAACCATAGTTAATAAACAACCATTTCAATTATTTGTTGACAAATAAAAAAGTTGATCTTTGGATAACCCTTTGTTAGTTAAAGAAGTAAATAATCAACATAATTAAAACTAGGGAAAGGTTTCTATACTTCCCCTACAACATAGAAGTTCTATCCCTCCCCCACCATCCAACCGTCCAATTTTGATCGAGAGAGCCACTCATCGTTTGGTTTTAGATCCGATGTCTCAAAGTATTTTATTTTTAGTTGTTTTTTATACAAATTGTATGAAAATGAATTTGGTACGTGCCATCTTCTCATTGGGGAGCACCTATAAAAAAAATTAAAAATATATTATTGATAAAATATAATGACCAAAATACCCCTTAAAGCTTTTAAAGGTATTTTGGTCATTTTATTTTATTGAAAATATTTTTTTAATATTTTTTGCTAATGCGAGTTTAATCGAGGAATGGACGTCCAAAATTTGGTGTCAAAATAGTTTATATAAAAAAAAATTAAAAAAAAATAATGTAGAGATGTGACATTGTGATTGGGGCAATCTTAACCCTCCATTCAGAATGGACGGTTGGATAATGAGAAGTATATAAGTTTTATGCTAATGACAAACCAGTTGTATTAGTTGTTAGCATGTGTCTCTCTTCCCTCTATACATCCATCTCTGGCTCAAATATATTTTTGTTTGCTTTGAAAACAATGAAAGGTGTCTTTACCAACATGATGTGAAAGAGCACTATTGCTAAATTTTCAATCTTATTCTTCGCCATTTGATATAAAAAATGGCATAGATATCATTATTAATGTTTAAATTTAGAACAGCTGCATGATCATGGCATCTGCATGATTTGGCACATATGCCAGCTACTCTAGATGAAAGAAGATGTGAAATTGACTGGTATGGACTATACTATTATGGTAGGATCCACTAGTCCATTTGCCACATCAGGCATCACGCATACTGCGGAGAATAATGAGAGTTTATACCCACTTTTTTTCTTTTATTTTCTTTTTTTCTCTCTTTTTTTCTACTTGGGTCTTACTCTTTGTAGTTTTTTTATTCCAATTTTGCCCCGTTCGATCAAGGCCACAACAGACGGCTAATATCATTTCATTTTTTGTGTTTTGGTTAAATCTAGGGCAGTATGAAACCACTAAAATCGAACCACTATATAGTAACTTCGTACCACCTCACTTATAAATTTTGCCAAGTATAGAATAGATCTATACTAGCAAATATTGAACTTCGAGTAACACCCAACCTAAGATTACTTGTTTAGGCTTCAATTTTTAGGATAAGTTTGAGAAGGGTGCAGTTGGCATACAGATGCATCCGTAGCTGTGGTGCACTTTCAAATTTTATCATGGTATATAATTTTGATGTAAAATGTTTTTAGGATTATCTCAAACTCTATTTTTATATCTAATTATAAAATTTAAAATTTAAAAAATAGATAAAATCAAGTAGATCTATAAACATATGAAAATCTTGAAAATGGGCAATGTAGATAATATGTTGTAAAATGCATTATTTTTTGGACTTAAAATCTTTTTATTTTTCATTGTCATACATCTCGATGTCGAGATGATCAATCAAATGGTTTTCTAACATTAAAACTACATTTTCTAATGGATTTTTGAGGTGCATCCGTAGTTTTACATTATAAGGTTGCATCCTTATATAAACTTTTTCCATCTAAAAATGCTCCTAGGCAGGGTTTTACACGAAGTAGTTAATAGTTGATTTGCTTTTATAGGGCATGTAATCTTTTGGGATACAGACGATTCATCGTTATCGTCAGTTTTTTTTTTAATTGATAGGGTCAACTACACGAATACTAGTATGTCATTCTGCACTATTAAAGGTAACGCGGGATACAAATGATTGGAAAAAAAAAAAAAAATTAAAAAAGATGTGGTTGCTATGATTCAGCTGACTCCTATTGTGCATAAGCGGGCCCCCTCTCAAACTTATCCTAAAAATGTTTTGGATACACAAACCCGAAGAAAGTCACATCCTAAGATCCAATAGTGGCAATGCAATTTATAATTGTCAAGGAACCCAAATTACTTTTTCACAAAATTTGAGATAAAAGAGTTATGTTTTCAAAATGTTGATGCGGTGATTCTATTATCATCACCGTAACTTTTTTCCAATTAATTGGCATATTGATTTTAATATAAATCCCTAAATTTGAGATAAAAGAATCCTCATAAATAGGTTTTTCAGGTGAAGGAGCACCGGTAAAATCTACTCGATTATGCAATAGACGCCTATTACATAGCCATCAGAATATGAGAAAACAATGATTCAGTTGTTCTTTTGTACGGCACATTGGAATCAAAGATAGAACAGAAAAGTAATTTTCTCCTCCTTGTAAATAACCGCATGACATGCAGTCCACTCCAAAGAGGCTCAAGTGGTGCAAGCATCGTAGCAACATGGAAGGACACGCAAGGCCGGTTAAAAACTGAAGAGCAAGTATACTATGCTCCCAGGGGAGCAATATTGTACATCTACTCCTTCGGGTTAGAAGTTCTACTTTTTTGAGAATCACTTAAGAATTTTAGATGATTATTCTCAAGGAAAACATTTAAATTTTGTGTCTGACACTTAGATCTCACCATGAGACTGTCTCAATTCAATCTTAAGACCTTTCTTTTCTGAAGTGTATAGAGAGTACAATTTTGAAATTTTTTTCACTCAGGTAAGTATGGAGTGAAGAGATTAGATCTTCTGAGACCCTAAAAATAGGCCTAGATTGAGTATTACCCCAAGGATGTAAATAAGCAATACGCTCCCGCGGGAGGAAATTAAAACTATCAAAATTGAAAAGCACTTTTTAGTGAGGACACATTAGGCTAAAGAACAGGAAAAAAGTAGCACCTCAAAAATTATATAAAAAAAAAGGGCACAAGAAATTGGAGAGAGAGAGCAGTTGCAAATCAAAAATTCTAAAACAATAAAGGGCATAGAAATTGAAGAGAGAGAGAGAAATAGAGAGAGATCAATTTGAATACAATGAGGCCTTTTACCAATTGTATAAGGAAGCCACAAATGTTCTAACCATTTGATACGAAATTTGATAGTTTGAGGTTACCACCCAATTTCACATTCAAAAGTCAAGATTAGATGTGTCCACCTTATACAAAAAGCAAATGATCTTATTGTATATTTTTCCTATATATAAAGTGACAAGAGTTTAGAAATGCATTGAAATCAAATACTTAGAGGCCAAATTTCTTTCTCATTTACCTATGTATGTGAGAAATCTATAATCTATGGTTGGGGTCCATATAAGGCTTCCTACCTTAACCAATTAGCCCACTGGTTTAATTGCAAACTCCTAGAAGACGCAATTTTAGTGCCAGGAATTTGATGGTGATCTAAAATTTTATTTTGACTCATCATTGTTAAAATGTAAAATTTAAAAAATGATGTAAATCAAATAGATCTATAAAATAATTGAAAATATGAATATAGACTGTCCAAATAATGTATTACAAGATACATTAATTTTTAGGAGTTAAAATCTCGAGTTTTTTTTATATCATACATATTGGAAATGATCTAATGGAAGGTTCTCTAGTGTTGAAACAACCTTTTCTATTTAGGTTTTGAAGTGCAATTGTTTCTACATTGTGAGAGTTAATACTTTATACAATCTCTTTTCGTAGTTTATTATAGGGTGTGTATAAGTCTGAGGCCCTAAAAAATAAAAATAACACGTACCTTCAAATAATGTAAAAATATGTTATTTTCGTATTAGAAATTTTTATGGTGGCTTAAAATTTTAATATCATCTCTAATTATAAAAGTTAAAAACAAAAATAGTAGAGACCAAGCATATCTATGAACACTTGAAAATCTTGAAAATTAGCGGTTTAGATAATACCTTTCAAGATGCAGTATTTCTAATACTTAAAATATATTTTTTCTCATGTCCATGCATTTTGAGGTCGAGATGATCAAATTGAGGGGCTTTTAGCATCCAAACAACCTCTTCTAGTGAATTTTTTAGGCGTGCCTTAGTATAATTGTTTAAGGCCTCACCCTTATATAAACTTTTTATTTTGGTATATATGACAATCGTTATCATGAAAGCCTTTTCCCAACTAATTGAGATCAGCTACGTATACATGTTCTTAAGTTTTGAAATTTTTTTACTTTGGCTACCTACCTAACACAACCCAACCCGTTTACTTGGGCATGAAACGAATTAAAAGAAAGTATAAAATCCTCACCCAAATCATATTACATTTGACAATAACATATATTTTTTTAAATACAAGATAAAGTGCCAGCTTTTCTCTCTCTTGTTAACCTCAATTTATGAGAGAGAGAGAGGGGGATAGAGAGCATCTTCAAAGGTGTATGACAACATGAAGACAAGGAGATATTCATTGATGTCTGAAGATCCATTGGAATCGTAGACAAAGATACACATGGGGCCACCTTCTCTCTTATAAAAACCAGAGCCCATAGACCCTAAGAAGTAAGAAGGCTCAAAGGGTGTTTAGAAAATAAAGGTATGGAGGGCTCAACCAAGGCTGGAGAAACAAAGTCAGCAAAACCCAACAACAACATATGGGGACTTTTTAAGCACTCAGATGGATCAGACAGAATTTTAATGGCAATTGGGTTCATAGGGTGCGCAGTGGATGGGTCTTGCTCTCCTCTCATTATGTTCGTTCTCAGTAGGATGATGAACACCTTTGGCCTAAACCCTATTTTCTCTCTCAAAGACATAGAAAAGGTGAGAACTTTCTCTCTATTTCATGCCAAAAAGAAGAAGAAGAAGACTTCAAAGAGAATTTAAACACATTTCTTTGGTCTTGCAGGATGGGTTTTATTTGCTTTGTGTAGCTATTGGTGTTGGAATCGGCGCATTTGTAGGTATGACGAACTTCTAGAGATGCACTGTTTCATAGGCTGCTCAGTTCACAAAAATCTCTTTCCTATACGTCAGGTGTGGCAAGAAGTCAGGTCAGGTCCGGTCCAACGGATTTGGACCCGACCCCAAAAATAAAATATTTATGTATTTAAGTATATTTTATATATTGGGCTCCGAAAAATATTACTAGATCCAAACCCAAACCTGGATCCGACTGGACTTGGACCTGAATAGTATTCGGGTCCAATTTTTAGACCCATTTCTTATCACACCAAGTCTACAGTCTCGAGTCGGGTCCAGGTCCATTGCCACTCCTACTATGTGTAAACTTCTCAATATCCATGTATGCATGTCTCCTTTAAGCTACTTTTAGTACCAGAGGGTCTCAAATGAAATCTTTTGCTATATAGAGGGTGTATGTTGGACAAGGACGGCAGAGAGACAAACAAGTAGATTGAAAGGCAAATATTTAAAGGCAGTACTTAGGCAAGATGTAGCATTCTTTGATACACAAGCTGCTAATTCCACTTACCAGATCGTTTCAAGTATCTCCACAGATACTGCAGCAATACAAGATGTGCTCAGTGACAAGGTAAATGCTATTTCCTATTCCCAATTTCTATTTTGCAAAATTATTCTTTTTCACAGTTTAGTGGAGAAATGATCTCTTAAAGAATGGAACTCAAGATATCACGTTGTAGCATCTGGCTACCCCGACTATCTAGTCTTGAGCACATTTTAACAAAATTACTTCTTTTTTTTGTATGTATGTGTGCATATGTGTATGCATGTGCAACTTGATGTTGTGAGCATAAAAATATAATAGGTTTATATAATGCATAGACCTGATACTACAAAAGTAAGACACACTTTAAAACTTACTAAAAAAACAGAAATAAACAAGTTTAACCATTCTTAGGTTGGGGGTATTTTAGTCATTTTCCACCTTCAAAGCCCCAAATTTATTAGTAAGGGTAGCGATCACCATTCAATTAATGGGTTCAACTGGGACAAAGTGGCACAAGGACTTAGGACAGATCAGATGTTTCGTCGGACACACTCTCTTTCCATCGCTATCCAACCCCTCAATAGAACGATGATCACCACCATGGCCATACTGTTACCATGATCACGTCATTTCTTCTTGTGTTGGCTGCAGCTCCCTAATTTTCTTATGAACACATCAACCTTCATCACAGCTCAAATAGTATCCATGGTGCTCTCATGGAGGCTCGCAATCGTGGCCGTCCCGCTTCTGTCTCTCCTCGTGCTCCCCGGTTTGATATACGGGAGAATGCTGGCAGGAGTAGCACGAGAGATGCAGAAGGCCTATGGAGAGGCAGGAGGCATTGCCGAGCAAGCCTTAGTGTCGATACGCATGGTTCAGTCATATGTTGGAGAGAAACGTGTGCTTGAGAAGTTTTCAGCAGCTATGGAGCATAGTTTGAGGCTTGGAATACGACAGGGTCTTATGAAGGGAGTAGCAGTCGGGAGTATAGGGGCCGCCTTTGCGGTGTGGGCCTTTCAGGCATGGTATGGAAGTCTTCTGGTGGCAGATAGGGGCGAGAAGGGAGGGAATGTTTACAACGCCGGGATTTGCATCGTGATCGGAGGACTGTAAGTGCTCTCTCTCTTTCTCTCTTATTTTTTCCAAATTTGTCACTAATCAACTTGCTAATCGTTCCATTTTTTAAATCAATTAAGAAAACAAAGCAACACTCTTTGAAAGTGGCAACTCTGTCTCACTCTGCTATTTTAAATTTGGGATACCCATTAACTTGTTAATCATCATTTTAAATATTGGACATAAAAATATTTAACATTTTATAAGAAGAAATGCCTATCCACAAGAAAAGAGGATAGAAGTATTCCATCAATGCATGGCATGCCATGGTTTGGCTCCATCTTGCACGTCCATATCACTAAACACAAATGGATTCATTTTTACGCCGAAGAAAGGCATTAAGCGTGATCCTTGCAAATTTTATTTAGTGTTTAACTTGCTTCGCAAAGAGAAGGGAAAGTATATATTGATTATTTACTTTTTAGGACAAGAACGTCACAATTACAATTTATTAAAATGATTATGTTTATTTTGATGGTATTTTTAATTAAATAAAAATAAATAGGTAAAGTGTTAAATACTTCATCTCTTAAATGCATTTTAATAAATTTCCCAAAAAAAAATTAAAATAACTTGATTTGAAATTTTTGGAAATTACCTTCGTTCTAAGTTTTTATAATATCATTCATGTTGGTAATCATGTCTTCATTTTTTAAAAGTAGGGAATTGGGCATTTTATAATAAGAGTAGTAGATAAATAATAATTAAAGGAAACAGTTTATGTAGAGCAGCTGAGGCTCTAAACAATCAAATTAGAGCCCACTTCAAAAATTTCACTAGAAGATGTTGTTTTGATGCCAAAATATGTTCAAGTTGATAATCTCGACATCAAGATGCATGAACATGAGAAAAAAAATAGATTTCAAGTTTTGAAAATAGTACATCTTGTAATGCATTTTTTGGCCATCAATTTTCAAGATTTTCACATTTTCATAGATCTGCTCGATCTACACTATTTTTTAAGCTTTAAATTTTATATTTAAAGATGAAAATATATTTTGAGGCTATCACAAAGATTTCAAGTATTGAAACCGCATTTTTCGATACTATTTGAAAGTGCACTTTACTTTGATTGTTTAGAACCACACCCATAATAAAATCCATCATTTTTATTTTCTTGGATAACTTTCGTTTAACAAGATCAATGCAAGAAATACTGGCATCAAAGTTTGGAGTGGCTGAGGACCACTACATATAATTAGTAGTTGACACATTGGAGTTTTGAACAACAAAGAAACTAACACCCACTCTAAATATAATGACTTAACCTGTCTACTTTAAACTAGTGTTTAAAAACCTGGATGGGTCAGGTGAACCGGGCATCCAAGAAACTGGTTTGAATGGGTAATCATTGATCTGGATTAGCAATTCGGCCAAGAGGGCTAATAAACAATAAAAAAATTGACAATAAAATTTGAAAAAATTTAAAATAAAAATTGTAGGAACTGAGCAATCCTAACATAATCAACCAGTTTTGTTAGAAAACTGGCTGGTTCTGTGGAAAACCGATAAACTCTTGGCTCTTATCCAGATCACCGGTTTTAAATCATTGCTTTTAACCTTTGCTTCATCAAAGCACATGTGACTCATATTCTCAATCGTTTCATCTAAGTTGGCCGCTACAGCTTCAATCACAATGTCATATATAACACAATTTTATTTTTAATTTTTTTCTATAAATCATTTTAAGATGAAATGTGATATGTCCTCTGTAGGTGCACTGTATAAAAATAATAATAAAATATCTTGACAATAAAAGAGACTAAGATAGCCCTTATAAGTTATAACGGTATATATTTTTTTTTTATATTTAAAAATATTATTATTATCATTTTTAGTAGGTAGTCCCAACAAGAAGGGTGAGGGCCTTAAATTTTCTGTTAACCCATCCTAAGTCTAGATAAAGGAGGTGGGTTATGTTAGGTAGGCAATGTAAAACTTTATTAAAACTTTTCTATAAATCTTGAGCTCAAAAAGGTCAAATAGTAGATCCAAAAGAACATGCTTGAAAGTAGTCAGAAAAGATATGGGTATTTGTGGCTTCACTAAGAGTATGGCCGATAATAGAGCAGAATGGCAGGCAAATATTCGTGTAGCTTATTCTAATTAGTTGGAAAAATACTATGATGATGATGAGTTACAACAAAAAAAAGAAAAGATGTTCAAAATTTTACATCAAAATAAATTTTTTTAAAAAGTATTAAAATTTAAATACTCTAAAAATACTAAAATTCAAATGCTCAAAGCTGTTAGGATCAAGATCGGGCAAATAGGAGACATACTTATAACAATATGATTGAAACTATCTGTTTTAAATCTAAAAATAATATCCCTTGTTATAAACCACTGTGACTTTTTTATATAAGCATGTTCCATACTGTGAATTAGCTCCTCCAACCAAAATAGCTACTTGGGAGTGTTTTTATTTTTATTTTTATTTTAAATCTCGCATTTTGGGATCCATCTAAAAATCAATAGGTGCTGATTTTTAAAGAAAAAAAAAGAATTTTGGATTGTTCAACACTTTTATCTTGCCTTCCAAGAATGAGGATCCCTTTTAAATCTTGGAACGTTATTTCTTTGACATATGGTGTGCCTTTGATTTCCCTTTTTATTTTTTTTGGGTTCTAAAGTTGGTCGCTGGGGTAAAATGTTACATATCTAAAATTTGAGGTCCTAAAATACCCGTAGCTAGGTAGCCAATTAACACTCAACTTGGGTAGCAAAGACAAGTATGCTTCCCCCAAGACGACCAAATCTTTTCATGTTTCATTGACTTCCTTATGAGGATTGTCGTCAAATTCCGGGGCTATTCAGTTTGATTAGAAAAATGAAGCAATTCGGTACTGATTTATAAAAAAATTATATAATTTTTAAAATAATTAATATAAATAAAATATATACAAATAATAAACTTTTAAAAATACATTTAAAAAATAAAAAATAATTTTAAAAAGATAATTATGTGCTTTGCCTAAAGCAGGCTAAAGCTTCAGCCCAAGAAGCCAAATCAACCTAAACGGCCCGAAGCCGGGTGAGGCGAATGCACCAAAGCTCTGCCTTGCTTCAGTCTAGGCCGAAAATCCGAAGACTTAGCTTTAGTCTAGGCCGAAAATCCGAAGACTTAAAGCCTAAACAAATCAAATTTGATGACATTGCTTGGGAGTCACAAGTGCATGTCACCCCTGGATCATAGGTTAGAGGACTACACTTCCATCACCTCTTCATCTCTGTACATTTGCTAGATTCACTGACACCCAAGCTGGGAGACCCATCTTACCCTCTTCATCCCTATTCTCTCTCTCTCTAACAATTCCCTAATCTCCAGGGCCCTGGGGAACGCACTCCCCAACTTGAAGTACTTCTCAGAGGCCACTGCCTCCTCTGCGCGAATTCTCGGCACCATCTCCCGCATTCCAGCCATCGATGCCGAAGACCTTCATGGGGAGACACCGGAAAACTGCAGAGGAGAGATTCAATTCAAAGAAATAGACTTTGCCTATCCATCAAGACCCACCATCACTGTTCTTCAGAAGTTCAGCTTAACAATCCCATCAGGCCAAACAGTTGGCATTGTGGGCACAAGTGGCTCTGGTAAATCAACAATCATATCTTTGCTACAAAGATTCTATGATCCAATCAATGGAGAAATTCTTTTGGACGGCCATGATATCAGAAGCCTGCAAATAAAGTGGTTGAGATCTCAAATGGGGCTGGTTAGTCAAGAGCCAATATTGTTTGCCACCACCATTAAAGATAACATACTGTTTGTAAAGGAAGGGGCTTCAATGGAGGAAGTGGTGGAGGCAGCCATGGCAGCTAATGCACACCATTTCATTACTGGCCTTCCGAACGGATACGATACACAGGTACGAAGTGTTGGATTACTAGAGAGAGTATAGTTTGCATGCGTATGGGGACGCAACTAATTGTCCAAAGGGTGCAGTTTGCATTACGATGCATAGGTGTAGAGGCGAGGTATTTATCATGGTATATAATTTTGATGTAAACTGTGTTAGGATTATCTCAAAATCTATTTTTATATTTAATTATAAAATTTTAAATTTAAATTTATTTTTATATCTAGTTATAAAATTTTAAATTTAAAAAATACTTAAAATCAAGTAGATCTATAAACATATGAAAATCTTGAAAATGGACGGTGTGGATAATATGTTGTAAAATGTACTATTTTTGAGACTTAAAATCTTTTTATTTTTTATAGTCATACATCCGATGTTGAGATGATCAATCAAAGCGTTTTCTAACATTAAAACTGCCTTTTTCGATGGATTTTTTAAGGGTATTTAGAGTTCTACATTATAAGGTAGCATAATTATATAAACTTTTCTTTGTCCAAATGTTTTTTTTATAAAATTATTACTTTTTATTTTTAAAATATATTTATTTTTTTTATAGTCATGATCTCCATGTTAGAAATTATCTGTTGTTAAAAATTGGGTCAAAAAATCCATCTCAATAATAGATTTTTAAGAGGGGACTCATTCACCCTTAACTCCCTCCACCCCCCCCTCATTCTCTGTCTCAGGCTCACACTTATATCTCTCTCTCTCTACAATGGCAGGTGGGGCAGCTCGGCGTCCAACTCTCGGGCGGTCAGAAGCAGCGTATCGCCATTGCCCGCGCCCTCCTCCGCCGCCCCCCAATCCTACTCCTCGACGAGGCCACCTCCGCCCTCGACTCCCTCTCCGAGCTCTCCCTCCTCTCCTCGCTCTCCTCTGTATATCTAAAACCCAATTCATATCTCTCCACTTCCTCTCTCTCTCTAAACCATCCCTCCACCTCCACCACTCTCATTGTTGTGGCGCACCGCCTGTCGACCATACGGGACGCCCACCTCATTGCTGTCCTGCACAGCGGCCGCTTGGTCGAATGCGCCCCACCCCACTCCAACTCTGCCTTCTCATCCATGATGAACCTCCAAACCCTGAAGAATCCTAACCCTAAAATACCAGAGATGGTGAATTATGAAAACCCTAATCCTAGAAATCCAGAGCCTGAGACCCCGATTGCCCCCTCCCCTGCTTCCCACTACGTCACTCCAATAAAAAAACCGGAGACCAAAACTGTGAATTCGAGCTCTCCTTCTTTCTTTGACCTCCTTTCCATGGCGTCTCCAGAGTGGAAGCAGAGTCTGATGGGGTGCATTGGAGCCATGGGATTTGGAGCAGTTCAGCCTGTTCATTCCTTTTGCCTTGGGGCTCTTCTGTCTACCTATTTTCTCAGAGATAATGGCGAGATCAAGTCTCAGACGAGGATCTATTGCTTTATTTTCATGTCTTACGCCCTGTTCTCTTTTGTTACAAATGTTCTACAACACTACAGTTTTGCAGTGATGGGGGAGAGGCTCGTGAAGAGGGTCAGAGAGGCAGTGTTGATGAAAACCATAGGATTTGAGGTGGGGTGGTTCGATAGAGAGGAGAACTCGACTGGTGCGATTTGTACAAGAATAGCAACCGAGGCTTCAATGGTGAAATCACTTCTTGGTGATCGACTGTCTCTAATGCTTCAGGCTGGGACCTCTGCAACTCTCGCCATGGTTTGGGGCCTCGCTCTTGCTTGGCCTCTTGCCATTGTTATAATCGCTCTCCAACCTGTGATCATCGGCTGCTTTTACTTGAGGGTTGTTCTCATGAAGTCTCTCTCTCAAAAATCTCAGAAATCTCTCTCTGAAAGCAGTGGATTGGTCTGTGAAGCTGTGATGAACCATAGAACTGTGACTGCATTCTCTGCTTCTGATAAGATACTCGCCATGTTTGATGAAGCACTGAAAAGCCCTAAAAAGGAGAGCCTGAAACATTCATGGCTAGCTGGTTTAGGCCTTTCGGCTTCACAATTTCTCACCGCTACGAATTCAGCCCTAATTTTCTGGTATGGTGGATGGCTTTTACACAAAGGAGTCATCACATATAAGCATTTGTTACAAACTTTTTTCATTCTTGTGACCACTGGTCGAGTAATTGCAGAGGCAGGAAGCATGACCTCCGATCTCGCGAAAGGAATGGAAGCTTTGAAATGGGTTTTTGGGGTTTTAGAGAGAGAAAGCGCCATTAATCCCGACAACCCAGATGGGTTAAAACCTGAGAAGATTCATGGCCATGTTGGGTTCAAAGAAGTTGAATTTGCATACCCATCTAGGCCAGACCAGATGGTTTTGAAGGGTTTGAGCTTTGAGCTCTGCAAAGGCATGAACATGGCTTTGGTGGGCCGAAGTGGATGCGGAAAATCAACTGTAATTGGGTTGATTGAGAGGTTTTATGAGCCATTGAATGGGATTGTGGAGATTGATGGAAGGGACCTGAGGACTTATAATTTGAGGTCTTTGAGGTTTCATATTGGGCTGGTTAGCCAGGAGCCAGCTCTATTTGCATGGAGTATTAGGGAGAACATTGTCTATGGGAAGGAGAATGCTTCAGAGGCTGAAATCATGGAGGCTGCTGTTCTTGCCAATGTTCATGAGTTTGTGAGGTACACACCCCACCATTTCTTCTCCAATTGAATTCTTTTACATGTTATGGGGGGTGTGAGAGAGAGAGGAACAGATCTAGTAGCTTGGAGCTAAGGGTTTAGCAACTAAGAAGATGGAGAACAAAGATTCAAGAACCCGAGATGAAACTAGCAGGAGCACTTGCTGCTCTAGGCTCGAGTAAATCATTATATAAGAAGACCTTATACAAAACTTAATCCTAAGTATCTATCTAATATAATCATGGTCATTTATTATAAAAGGCTTTCAGTAAATAAAAATACATAATAAACTATAAAAATTATTACTTATATCTCTAAGTAAATAAAATGACTCAAATAAATTAAAGACATAAAAGGACATATTCAATGACTAATTTGCCCTTATGTAACTCTTGTAAAATTTAGGTTTATCTTTTATATTTAGATACTTGAGAGCAGTATTCTGGGTTGCATCAATCCCCCTTCCTCAAAAGAATTCACCCTCGAATTTGGTGATTCGTTATTGGAGGTATGGTGACAATGTGGAACAAGATGCTTGACATTAAAAACGTCGGAAGTGCGAATATGGCTTGATAGCTTTAACCAATAGACATAGTCATTGATCTTCAAATTTTTGAATTGTCCTACTTGACGAGACTTGAGATCAAGCTGTGCCATTTTAGTGCTCTCATAAACATTGGATTAACCATGCTTTGGGGGCCCGTTGGGTATTGCCATACTTGTAGTACATAAGACCAACACACTTGGTCTTGAACACATCGAAAAATACTCTATCATGAATTTTGAAGTGGCTCAAGATTAATGACACATTACCTCTTTGATTTCCTTTAACTCACACATAGTGTTTAGATATAGAGTTTCGCCACTCGTTGGTATCAGAGCCGATTAGTAAGGATGGTACTATAGCATAGTATTGTAGTACATTATTATAGCACAACACTATAGTATGGCACTGTAGCATCATTTTTTGGTGCCCTAAATCAACAACCATGCCTTCATGTAGAGGAAAATAAAGAAAAGCAATAATTATAGAAGCTTTAATGCTAGTTTGCATTAAGGGATTGCAGATCTGAAGAGACCGGTTGAAACCCTAGCTCTGCGTTTGGCCTAGATGGAAGCTCCATCTCAAGAAGATGAGATCGAGGCAGATGAGGAATCCATAAATCTCTTCTATGATCACGCTCTAAGGAGAGAAGTAGCTGATTGTACAAATAGGGATGGTAGGAGGTGGGAAATCGATCTCAAGGTTGAGATCCTAGAGTATTATGAAAGTCTATTCAAGGAGAACCATGGAGAAACTTTGTTCTCATCAAATGGTTCTCAAAATTAGCAAGTTGTGTATTGGGACACACTGCCAGTCTTTAATAAGTACCTATATGAAGATTTGGTTGTTGAAAAAGAAGTTGGTCACCATAGCTTTAATGGTGATCCAATCCGTAAAGCAGATCAAGAAGAAGAGGCTACCATTGGAGAAGATTTGGTGGATAATCCTATTCCTAATGATGAACAAGGTGGATGTCAAGGAGTTGTTCCTAAAGCATAGGATGTAACGGTCTATTAATCCCCAGAGAAAGTAGCAAGGAGAATGTTGTTGGCAGAGGAAATGATGATGATGTTCTTCTTCTTGAAGTTTTACCAAGTTTGGTGATATTTTCCTATGAGCTTTTTGCTAGTGAATTTAATATAGAAGGTGACCATCGAGTGGTTGCTTATGGGATTCTCGATGTTGGAGTTCAACTTCAAAAAAAGCTCATATGTGGTTGCTTATGTGATTCCCGATGTTGGAGTTCAACTTGGAGCAAGGGTTTAGCAAAGAAAAAGATAAGGAAGATTCAAAATTAGAGTAATATTAAAAAATCAGAGATAAAAGAATGAACACTTGTTACTTTAGGGTTTTTAATAAAGTCCATAACAAGATGATCCATCTAATTAGTATGTTGGGTACTTGTTGCTTTAGGGTCTTTTATTCAATTAAAGTCTTTTGAGTATACATCTCTTATATAAAATCCTAAACAAGATTTAGACCTAGCCATCTATCTAATTTAATCATGGTCATTTATTATAAAGACTTTAATTGAATAAAAAGGCATAAAAGACTCTAAAAATTAGTACTTGTGCTTCAAAGTAAATAAAATGACTCCAAAAATAAATAAAAGACATAAAATGATATATTCAATGACAAATTTACCTTTTGTTGTTCGCTTCTCTCTTTTATCTAGATACAAGCAGTATTTTGGCTTCTCTCTCTTATCTAGATACAAGCAGTATTTTGGGTTTCATCATAGAGAGATAGAGGTCATTCTTTTACATGTTATGATTGGAGAGAGAGAAGAGAAACTCATTCTTTTAACATGTTATGGTTGCACAGAGAGAGTATTTTGGGCTGCATCAGAGAGAGATAGAGATCATTCTTTTACATGTTATGATTGCAGAGAGAGAGAAGAAAAATTCATTCTTTTAACATGTTATCGTTGTACACACACAGAGGGAAAGAGAGAGAGGCAGAGAGCATTACATCTTATGAGAGAAAAGTTTTTTTGCTTTGTTAATTGCCATTATCTCATGAAATGTAAACTTCAGGCATCAGGAATTGAAACCTCTTTGAAACTAAGGACATGATTGGTTTGTGTGAAAATATTTTTCAGAAATTATTTCCATGTGAAAAAATTCTCTCATATGATTAGGTATGAGAGTCTTTTCACATCAATTGGTCCGAATACATCTTTTCACACCAATTGGAGGTAATTGGTGCAAAAATGTTCTCACACCTAATCATTTGAGAGAATTTTTTTCACATGAAAATAATTTCTGAGAAATATTTTCACACGAACCAATCATGCCCTTAGTTTCAAAAAGGTTTCAATTCCTGATTCCTAAGTTTACATTTCATGAGATAATGACAATTAACAAAGCAAAAATACTTTTCACACAAACCAAATGTGTCCTAAATATCACATTTGCACAAGGAGAACTCTAGAAACTTCCCTTTAGAGTCCCATTACTAACCATCCCTTGATCCCATCCCTAAAATGAAGAGCCAAAGGAAAAAGTTTATGTAAGGGAAAAGTTTATATAGAGCCGAGGCTTTAAACGATCAAATTTGAGCCTACCACAAAAAATTCACTAGAAGAGGTTGTTTTGATGCCCAAATGTTTTCAAATTGACCATCTCGACTTCAAGATGTATGCACAAGAAATAAATGGATTTCAAGTTTTGAAAATAGTGTATTTTGCAATGCATTTTTGGACCGTCAATTTTCAAGTTTTCATAGATCTATCGATTTCCACTATATTTGAAGTTTTAAATTTTATAAATAAATATAAAAATATGTTTGAAGTCTATCACAAAGATTTACGATATTGAAACCACATTTCTCTAAACTATTTGAAGGTAGGCTCTGATTTGATTGCTTAGAGCCTAGGCTCTATATAAACCGCACCCTTTATGTAAAGTTGCAACGAGTGTTCAGTAGTTGGAAAACCTTCCAATTGGTTATCTCGACCACGGGATATACGGTATAAAGGAAAAAAAAAAAAAGAATTTCAAGTCCTACAATGAGTGTTTAGAAGTCGGAAAACCTTTTAATTGGTTATCGCTACCATGGGATATACGGTATAACGGAAAAAAAAAAAATATTTCGAGTTGATAAGTTATTAGAATGGTCTATTTTCATGATTTTGAAATGTTTGTATATATGCTCAATCTGTGCCTTTTTTTTAATTTTAAAATTCATAATGAGAATTGAACATGAATTTAAGCGATCATAAGGTCTCTAATATTAGAACTACATCAATGGCAAAATTTAGAGGTGTCTTACTGTACAATATAAGTTTGGCATCTTATAGAAACCTCACCCAAAACAAAAACCATTCCATTTACTTCAAAATTAGAGAATTTGAGAACAGCGTAGTCTTCTTCAATTTTCTGAGCAAGAAAGAAAATGACAGTGGTTTGAAGGATGGCTATGACACCTACTGTGGAGAGAGAGGAGTTCAACTCTCAGGAGGGCAAAAGCAGCGCATTGCTTTGGCAAGAGTCATATTAAAGAGCCCTGCAATTCTCCTCTTGGATGAGGCCACAAGTTCCTTAGACAACGAATCGGAGAGGCTGGTTCAAGAGGCCATGGATAAGATGATGGTGGGGAGGACTTGCCTGGTTGTGGCACATCGCTTTGCAACGATTCGGTACTCGCAATGCATCGCAGTCATCGAGGATGGGAGGATCGTGGAGCAAGGGTCTCATGAGGATCTGCTAGCAAAGGGAGATGGTGGTTCCTATTTCTCTCTCCTAAAACTCCAACAAGATTCCACTGAGCCATCAGAGTTGTCATATAGTGATCGTGGCATGGCATCTGCCCTTTTTTATTTGTTTGGGGAAGATGAAGGAAAACCATTGGCTTGCCCTCAGAATGTAGAGAGAGAGAGAGATCAGATTGCAGTAAGGGCCAAGACCAACATATCATGAGAGAGAAAGTACCCTTCTTCATTGCATGTAACAATTTTCCCCTGTATCTACATATATTTATTTATTAAGAAAATGAATAAAAGAGCCATTTTACTTTTGTACCAGGAGGTAACAATCGTTTTTGTCCATCAAATTTCAAATTTTTAGTTGTGAGGATGTCATTGATTATCAAATTTCAAATCGTTAGTTGTGAGGATGTTATTGATTAAACCCAAAGTTCAAATTTTTTTTTTGGAACTTTATAACACACAAGGCTTCCAATCGGACAGCTAATTAATAGCTAGTATTAATTGTGACCGTCTTATAACAAATATAAATAATCTCACTAGTATATAATCTCATTTATTAAACCTTGAGTTTAATTGGTTAACCTGTTGAGGATTGCAAAACCATGTCCATATTTGTGGCTTTTTCTGTTGAGCTATCAAACTTCTTCATTGAATGTGATAAACAATGGTGTAACCTCCATGGAAAGACAAAAATTTGGACACCACAACATTGGAAGAAAAAGTAAAGGAAAAACTTGTGAAGGTGGCATTCTTACTCTAAGGTATACCTCAACCAATAAAAAATGGAAGAAAAAATAAGGGAAAAACTTGTGAAGGTGGCATTCTTATTCTAAGGTATACTTCAACCAATAAAAAAGAGTGTTCCAACATCAGCGAATCTTCCAATTGATCATCTTGACCTCAAGATATATAGATATAAAATATAAAAAAAAATTTAAATCATAAAATAGAGTACCTTGTAATAAGTTATTTAGATCATCTATTTTCCAAATTTTCAAGAATTTATAGATCTATCAATTTGCATCGTTTTTTTTAAATTTAAATTTTATAATTAGAGTTGAACATGGATTTTCAAGCCATTGTAAGGTTTTTGAACCCCAGAACTACATCTTTCAAAAAAAAATTAGAGGTGTACACCTTATACAATCTTCACCCAAAAAGAAATAGGTTCTAAGAATGCTCTCAATGAATTCACAAGGTTCAAAAGTAACCCTTTGTTATTCTCCACCACCAAGAGAACAAATCTATAACATTAAATTCCAACACTGTTTACAACAACCCTTTTCTCATTGAATCATGGATGCCATCCAACGTTTCTAGGGGCTTCCACAAATAAACCGCATCACCCAAACCTATAAATTAATGCCTCAACAAATTCTCTCCCTCTCTCCCTCTCTCTCTCTCTCTCTCCTCCTACCCTAACCC